GGCTGCACCTCCGCCCTCTGCTGGAACGCTTGACCTGCTGCTTCAACTTTCTATCAAAACCGGAATTCCCCAGTCTGGGCTTCTTAAGGCTTCCTGGCGGCTTCAATTGCATCAGAAGATTCCCCAGCGTTTGGGCTTGAGCAGAGCGTGCACGGATGGCGACGCTGCACAAAACCGCTCATCGGCCTTAGTGGTGGCCTTGACGTAGATGCAGTGGGCACCTCGTGCCTTCACTACCTGCGCCAAATCCTTGCTGGTGAAACGGTCTGCAAAGTCCTCGGCCCTCACGCACTGCTGAAATGGGGCGTCCGCCACGCGCCGGGCCACCTCCTTGGCAGCCTTGAGCTCTTTTGGGCCAAAGCCGCCCTGCACATCGATGCCGAAGAAGTGCTTGATCTCCATCACCTGGCACATGGCAAACAACACTGCGCAAAACAAAGGCGCAAGTCAAACCCGTCCTGCTCGCCGATGGCTTCCTGCCGGACCTGCTCGAAGGTCTGCGCTTTCAGGTTCTTGGCGAGCTCCTGCGAGGCTGGAAAGGCTTCGCAAAGCGCACTCGCCGCGCTTAACTCCGAGGGCCTCCAGCTTGCCCACATTGCCGCCCGTGAGGTGCAGCAGCTCGGCCTTGTGCTCCACAGCGGCATCTCCCCCGTGGTGCTGGAGGAACTCCCGGACCTGGTCAGGGAGAATGCCAAACAAAGGAACGCGCTCGGCAAAGGGGCTGCGCCTCCTGCTGCTTGCACTCTTCCTCACTCAGCGATGCGATCTGGCACCGAACTTCGCGCGCATCCGCGTCAAAGCTCAGTGCCATGGAGGCACTGCTCGCCAAAACCACCACCTTCGCCAATTCGGCGTCGTAGCCCAACATCTTAGCGAGGCCAGAGCAACTGGCGAGAACTTTCATATTACTCACTTGCTGGGGTATCTCCAAGACGACGAAGGGCAGGCGGCCCAGCGTCTTTGCCGCCTGCTTCAAGGCCTCCTCGACCTCAACGTGGCCGGGGG